CGTACAAAACACACACACACATTCATTTTTTCTGAGGTATGCCAAAATGTTCAGAAACCTTCAAAATGTGAAGATATGCAAAAATTTTCATTTTCGATATTTAGCCCATTACTATAACTTACCCTGCGGGAAGTTAAAAATTGTAATCTAAAACTATATTAAAAATAGAAATCGCAATAATGAATCTGCTAGTAGCCTTAATTGATTTACTTACAATTAGTGATACTTAAGCATATAACTACAGAAACTTTTGTTACTAATGTCGTACTATATGGTAACAGTGTGTAACATTTAGAGAATAAAAAAAATAACACTAAATATTATTTCATCCCCCCATCAACTTTTCAATTGTTAAATTGAATGAAATTACTAATATAAGTATTCCCATTAAATTGAATAAGTTTACTTTAATATTAAACTAAATAAGTCTAATTATATTGGATTATAACAAGGGTTGATGTTGTAGATCTGTGTGCTTGAAATTCTAACATGAATCTGGAAATTAAATAGTATAGTTTTTTGATAAATATATTTGAACAAATAGCAAATTTACTTTATTTATATAATGATAAGTCTTAAAGATAATTGTACAAAAGATTCTGTATATCACGTAATGAGCCAACCAAAATGCGCAGATTCTAAAAAAGCAGCATGTGACATATCTGTTGATTTGTTGGCTGCAAATAATTTAATTATGAACTTGCCATTTGTTTGTGTAAAGTAGATATATGTTTGTTTACTAAAATAATAAGTTACAGAACGTAAAATAATATTAAAATTTTTTGGCACTCGAAGCATTTAACACGTGGTAATTTCATAAAATATTTAATGAATCACTTCTCATAACAATAAGCGAAAACGTTAAAGCCTCCACGTGGTGGTAATTGCATGACAAATTATAATAGGAAAAATATTTCAAATCAAAATAAAAACAACACCTATTATCAAAAAGTGTTAGCGATAACTTGTAATAATATATTAGAATCTTATTACTCCAATAAGTTATTAGAGTATGTATGTAAATGTACAATGGATGTGAATATACATATGCAATAGTTACGCTATTGATTAGAATAAAGCAATTGGAAATAAATTATTACCTATTGCAGAATAACTATATATAAATTATTAGGGGGCGTCCATTAATCACGTGACCAAGTTTTTAAGGATTTTTGGACCCCCCTCCCCCTTGGTGATTCATGATGATATTCAAAATTACCCCCCCTCCCCCAACCAAACATTACGTGTATTTTTAGCTATGTGAAAAAACTGTAAAATTTTTGAATAAAGTAATTTATTTTTGAAAATGTTTGATTTTCTAAAAAAAAAAATTAGTTAAAAAATAAATCTCCTCCCTCCCTCACGTGATACTTCGTGATTTTTTGTAAAAATAAATCTCCCCCCTCCCTCAAAAAACCTCACGTGATTAATGGACGCCCCCTTAACTTCTCGTAGGGTAAGATATAGTAATAGGCAAAAAATCGAAAATGAAAATTTTTGCATATCTTCACCTTTCAGAGGTTCCTGAACATTTTAGCATACTTCAATCAGAAAAAATTGATGTGTGTGTGTGTTTTGTGTGTCCGCAATTTTTCGTCCACGTTTTCGGGCGCATGGATCAACCGATTTAAATGGTTTAAATAATATTCGATTCCTATTGATAGGTAGATGTGCTGATTAGTTTTTGTCAAAGGCAGGTCTAACCGTCACGGAGATACGGAGCAAAAAGTACAGAAAATATAGAGTTTTTGAGACAACGGAACATCCGATTTGAATGATCCAAAAGACATTCAATTTGTAATGATTGGGGGAAGTTGTGATTAGTTTTTGGCAAATGCAGGTCCAGCCGTTTCGAAGATACAGAGCTAAATGTACAAAACATGATAGATTTTGAAAGAACTAAGCATCTGATTTGAATGATTCAAAAAAGTTTCTGCTTGTTTTGACAAAATAATTGCTTTTAGAATAAAAAAAAATGTTTCAATTTTTTATTTTCAAAAAAAAATTTTTTTCAAAAAATAAATTTTTGTATATCGAAAATAATTCAAATTTTAATTTTAATTCTGGCTAAAGTTCTAAAGCTCACTTATATACTTTAAATAAATAACTTTAACTTTGTAATTCATATAATTCTTATAAATATTAGATAACGTTACAGTTTTCATAACAAACTATTTGGAAACATTTAATATTCCTCGAACATTTCGTTACGGTACGGGAAGTTCGAGCAATTGCCTTAAGGCACGATGCCATACACCACTAGTTATTGTATGAGAGCAATTTATTTAGAAAGAAATTATTTAGGACTTATTAGTAATAAGTTATTACAACTACAGCTCATTACTAATAAGTCTTAAGTAATTTCGTTCTAGATAAAATTGCTCATTAACCAAAAAAATTATACTAAAATTTGAAGATGAATTCGTTTGAAATTAAAAATTTATACAAAAATATGTGAATTATTATTTTGGAAAATGTGGAGAATATAATGAATACTTTCTAAATATACAAAAAAGATTAGATTAAAATATTATTTTAATTCAAACGTAGTTTTTTTGCTTGAATTTATTTATTAATTAAAAGATACCGTCATAGATAAAAGAAGTATACATATATGTATTGATACCGTGCATTCGCAATTATTATTATATTGCATCAATGTGTTTGTTAAAGAAGATAACTTTGATATGGTATGATATAATTAACATAAGAAAACAAAATTATTACGCACGTATATATAATTGAATATAATTTCAATAACGTTTATTAAAAGTTGATCAAAGTCTATAATTCCTATTTTCGGTATAATAATAATAAACAAAGTACAAGGTTTAGGATGGATTCAAATTATAAAGCCATGGTTGGCATTCAAATAAACACGGTATTCAGGATATGTAATTTACATTACGCAGGACATTTGCGTCATGGTCAGTTTAATTAACGTATATTTTACTCAATTATAGTATTAGTATAACGCTCTTAATAAAATTATACACTTTTTACAAATTTCAATAAATGGCAAAATTGTCATCACAATCAAATGCAAAAAATTACCAACATTGTGAATATTAGCATTTCTCTAATAATAAGTTCTATAAATTATGGTTTTACTATTCATAAAATACTAACATTTCCAATTATTAATAATTTTTTGAATGTGATTCTGATAAATTTGCCTACATTGATATTTGTGAAGTAAGCTTTCTACTGTTTGTATTGGATAATGTTTGAAACTTTGAAAAGGCATTTTTCTTTTACTTGTTGTATACACCGTGAGAGTAATGAAATTTGATTTATAAAATTTTTTTCAAAATTTGTGAATGAATTTAACAGTTAACTAATTATTCAATTGAACAATTGAACAATATCTCCTCTTGTCATTTCTCAGATAGGAAAACCCGTTTATTATATATTTACTATTGACTTCACACACAGAACTTTAATCTAAATTTGTCAGGTTCATTAGGTATATTTTATATAAATCTGCCCCTACATTTCGACGGAAACAACTCTCCAATTGACCGATCGCGGTAGTTAGGCTATATAACTTTTTTTCGAAAATAGAGAAAATAACCAAAATCTAAGAGTGAAAAAATATTATTTGTATATTTTAACACTGTGTAATTTAACTTTACTATATGATAACATAAAAAACATCTATAATTTTCTATTGTTTCTTGAAATAAATTCGATAGATCCTTACGTTTCGAGTCTCGATCTGAGTCTTCTTTCAATGTTAACTTCCCGTAGGATAAGTTATAGTAATCGAAAAAAGTAGAAAATGAAAATTTTTATATATCTTTACATTTCAGAGATTCCTGAACATTTTGGCATATACCTTAGAAAAAATGGATGTATGTGTGTGTGTGCGTGCGGATACAAATTTTCGTCGACGATTTCGCGAACACAAATTAACCGATTTGAATAATTCAAAAAAACATTCGATTTCTACTTATAAAGAGCTGATTAGTTTTTGGAAAAGGCAGATCTAACCGTTGCAGAGACACGGGGCACAAAGTGCCAAAAATGGTATTTCAGTTTTTGAGATAACAAAGCGTGCGATTTAATTCAAAAAACATTTTACTTGTATTGAAGTGAACAACTGGTAAAATTTTTGTAAAGACAGGTCCAGCGTCTGCGGAGATACAATGAAAAAAAATGAAAAATAAGGCCATTAGGCGGTTAAAACCTAACATTAGATATATGTACATCGTATTATCAGATATTTTATAAACATTTACAAATTTTGGGTACATTTATATGGGTTCCGTACTACACGGCGCTCATGCGCATTAATATTTTGTCCCCAAATCAGCTAAGCAGAGCAATTGTTTAGAAAAAAATGTTCAAAATTTTCAAAATAAATCAAAATTCAAAAAAATCTAAATATAAAAAATTAAATTTTTCAAAGTTTTGCAGAGTTTTTTCAATAATTTAGTTATATTTCAGTACGGGCAGTTCCAGAATTTGCCTTAAGGCACGATGCCATGCACCACTAGTTCTTTTCCATTGATCATATTTTTCATGTTTGTGTCTTAACTTGTGTGATTTATTTCCACTGAGAAATAGTCAAATTGGGACTAGAAACGTATGGATCTATTAAATTTATTTTAAGAGTTAGTTACCGTTTTCTTTCTATTTTATTATTTGAATGGAAGCCTGTTAAGAAGTATTTTGTTTAATCAATATATATATATATATATATATATATATAAATATATATATATATATATATATATATATATATATAATTTGAAAATATGATAGAATCATAAATCTCAAATTTGTTATTTTTATGATTTTATACTAAATGAAAAATCACTTGAACTTTTTCCTGTTCAAGGAATAGAGTAAATAGAAATTTGGTGTATTGTGTAGGAACACAATAGGATTAAAAATTGTATCAATTATATAATTGAATCGAAGTCTTAATTGAAAGTACATAAATTCGATAACTGCGGATTTAAACGAAAATGAAAACAAAGTACTGTATTACATACCATTTAGTGTCCAAATATGTGATGGCAGCGAATGTGCGGCATATACTCTGCTAAGGGCACCAGCTTCATCCGCAGAGCTGTCGGTCTCGGGACTGGCAGAGACTTCAAAGGCCCCCGAAACTGACGGAATTGCAATCGTCTCGTGACTTGCTTGCAAATCAGGCACAGAGGATAAGGATCGCGCTCTTTGACGGTCGTTAGATGACACTTGAATCCCTGGTAGGGCCCTTAACAAACTAAAACCGGCTGAATTTGACACAACTTCACTGCTACTGCTCGCCGAAAATGTTCTCGTCCGGGGACTTTGTCCGCCATTTGCGGTACTAGCCTTCGCACCCATCACAAAACGATATTAATGTATTTTACACGAATTGTCACTAAGCACTTTAGGATTTTTTTGTGTCATCAATGTGTCTCAAGTCATAATATAATTAGTAGAATACCACCCGAAAAAACGGGCGACATTTTGTTAAAAGATTTTGATGCACTATCTATACATATGATTTTCGTATTTATTATTGTTATACCGTACCCTATTTGGCGGAATGACTCTGCTATGAAATTTTGACAGCAGCAAGTGAAGTATGTCTCATGACTAACTCTTTCCTCTTTCTTGTTGGTTGAACTGACATTCACCTTGGACTATATAAACATAAATTTAAAACTTGAATAGACATGGCAAATTCAAAAACACTTTCAAAGTTACATAATTAAGAATTTTGTAAGTAGTTTAAAACTAATATCATGGTCAAATAATTTTAATTATTAATAGAAAAATTAAAATTAGAAAATAAGGAACGTTTAATTATTAACGCACTTCTAAATTAATCGCGAAAAGCTCATTCTTATATTATTTCGATGCCAATAATATTCAATAGTCAATTTCATATTTTTTGAAAAATAGTATTGCTGACAGATTATGTAACGTTCATGAATAAATGGTTACAGAGTTAGAGACATTTGTTCGGAGCGGAGATTACCTGTCACAACTTGCCACTTTAACAGATCCAGTTTCTTTAACAAGTCAATGGTACGCATGTGTGATTGGCAATATGGCAATGGCGTCTGCCACGGTAAATATCCAAAAATTATAATGAACTGACACGTCAATCTTTTATATATTTAGATAAATATTTTTTTACATATAAACAAAATAAGTAACAAATAAATAGAATAACAGTTTTAACATATGTACTCTTATATTCAACGTGTAATATTTTATAATCGGCTCAACTATGCAAAAAGAAGTAAATTGACGTGCACTTGTCAAAATGACATTTGACATTAGCTTTAAAGAATATTAAAAAAATCATTATTTTATTGTATTTTAGGTACCTCTTTTAGATGACGACACAATACCATTTGGAGAAGAAGATGAAGTCAATGCTAGGAATTCAGGAAAATTAACGTATGATAAGAATACTTTAATAGGTTAACTGGTCTTCCAAATATTTGATATCATCTGTTTGCAGGCATCCTTATGTGACTTTCTTCCACCTGTTTTTTCGCTGTTCTTCTATAGTAGTGTACATGCTCTGCGGATGGTTTAGTGACAGTTTTATTACAAGTTTTGTTTGTGTTGTCCTGTTACTGTCTGCTGATTTTTGGACAGTTAAAAATATCACAGGACGGTTACTAGTGGGTTTGAGATGGTGGAATTATGTGGACGATGAAGGTGTATCGCACTGGGTGTATGAAGCTCGAAAGGTTGTTAAGTATTCATTTAGTCATACTACTTAACCAAATATATTATAACAAAATATTAAAGTTCTATGAATCCACATATCTTGTTAATAACTTCTTATATTTATAATAATTTCAACATTCTATTATTATACCCTTTTTCAGGGAATGATTCAGGGTCGAGTGAATCAGAGGGAATCCAAAATATTTTGGCTAGCACTTGTACTGTGTCCTGTTGTGTGGGCAGTATTTTTTATAATCGCACTTTTTGGTTTTAAATTCAAATGGCTGGTAAATATGTTATAATATTAAAGAATTTACATTTTTTGTGTTTGATGTTGATTTCTATAGAATATAATAATTTAAATGAATATTACTTTTCCAATACAGAGATATGATTCTATTAATAATATTTAAAATGGTTTTAAACTAAACTTTATATAAAAATATTTAATCAGAAGATAGCTTACAACTCTGACTTGTTTGAAAGTTTAAGTTCCTGCATGTCAAGCCATAATTAATGTTTCAGTTATGAATTTCTGTATTTCAGAACATAAAACATCAACAATTACAAATTGCCTTTATTTGAATAATATTTCAATTTGCTTTCTTTTTTAGCTTTTAGTTCTAATTGCACTTGCTTTAAATGGAGCAAATTTGCATGGCTACATCAAATGTAATTTTGGAGCAAGTAAAGACTTGGGATCAGTTACGACAGAATTCTTCAAAGCAAAATTACTTCAAAATGCTGTTTCATTTATGAATAAACCAGCACAGCCTAGTACTGCACAGCCGACTGGAATAGTATAATTTAGTCAATTTCATATAAGATACACGTGATCTATGTTTTATATTTTAGAATTACATTTATGCTATTTTTAGGATTTATTATAATATTAATTAATACTTGTACATATAAATATAATTATAATGAATGTTTAAGAATTTGTAAAATATTTGAATATTAGATGATTATGCCATTTATTTATATGAACCAAAATTTGCATTTATTGCGTGCTATTCCAAATACCTTTAGTATTGTCATAATAAAATATAAATATAATACATAATTTTCTGACTTTTTTATTACTTATCCTGGATAATATTTAATAAACTTTAGAAACTCGATTTGCTAAATTTCGACGTTCCAAGTCACTTTGAATCAAATGAGACCAAATTCGGAGAAAGTATGTGTGTGTGTGTATGTTCTTGTATGTGAGCCAATTTTTGACCATTTGCGGCTGAACCGATTTCAAAAATTTAAAAACCTTTCGATGTAACTTGATAAGGACTTTTGTGCGACGATCGGCCGCGCAGTTTTTTTGTAATTTAGCGTGAATTTTTTGTCCACGTTTCAGACCGTAACTAATTTTGAAAATCCAAAAACTATTCGAAATTTGGGAGTCGTATTAATGAGTTTTATATAAAAATTGGCCGAGTCTTCTTCGTAATTAAATGTTGATTTTTTGTATGAAATTTTCTATGCCGATATATACCGCGGTCTGAAACAACATACTGTGAAATATTACAGGCCTACGAGAAGCGATTCAATTATAAAAAACATCAATTTTTAGAATTTCGCGATTCTATTATAGCGAATCTATGTCGAAGTACATGCGTCTTTTGTGGTGCGTCGTAGGTAGCTACTGATTACAATTTAAATAAAATACATTTTCAGAACCCGAAATAAATGAAATGAATTGTATTAAACAAATTAATTTAATTTATACAATTACAGATACATATTATAAGTTTGTTTAAATTATAAGACGTTAAATGGAAATCACATTGATTAATTTTTAAGTAGGGAAAGCAAAAATTTTATTTTTCAAGTATAGATAGTGGAACTATAATTTCACCAGAATATACCAGAATCTCAATTCTTATTGATTAAGCTGATTTTAATTATGTATACGTATAGCGTAGTTCATGCAACTAGTAGTATATTTACTTTATAAGTTATATAATATTTTTAGTTAATACTTTAATAGTATTTCTGAAATTATTGCAATTTGAAAAAATGATATAATTTTTAAACAACACAAGTATAAAGAACTGCAATACGAAATAAGAAAAATATACAAGTAACGCTGAAAATGATTTTATCTAAAACATCAAAAATTCAAAGAAAAAAAAATTGCTCCAGGTGAGGCTCGAACTCACAACCCCGGCATCGCTCACGACTACTGTCTTATAAGTACCGTGCGCTAACCAATTGCGCCACTGGAGCTATGTGTGAGAGTGACAATAAGCCGGTTATAAGTGAAAATTCCACAACGTCATAATAAAGCGATATACGGATATGTATTTATATTATAATAGTATTTATATTCAATTTGTGACCGTTTTTTATTTAATAATCAATGAAATAAATGAATGATTATAAAAAAAATAATTAGGGTTAAATAATCGCAAATCGTACTCGTTCACATGAAAACCACAACAAACATGGCCGTGTCTTGATGTGTTGTCAAAGTTCTGTCAAAATAGTTGTCAAAGTGCACGGTTAGCAATATTCAATGCAAAAATAATACGTTTCTCATTATTATACTATTTTATTATTGATATAAATCATGTAAACATATTTGATGTGACGTTTAATGTAAAATGTTAATGGGAGGTAAATACTAAGGTTTTTCATCATAAAATTCATAACGAGGTTAATTACATATTATGAAATTAGTTAATTTAAAATAGTTATGTTTAATATGCATGATTTGCATATTTAATACTTAAATTTATGAACAAATGTCAAATTATTTAATTGTTTGTGATCAACTGAAGGAGTGATTTACTATTTGATAGCCCAAATGTTTTACGTTCCTGCTTTTATCATTTCTGATATAAACAAACAAATGTCATTTATATATAATGAGTTGGTTTGATACAACCGGCATTGCGAATCTCGCAAAATCAGCTTTGAAAGAAGCACAAAAAACTATTGACAAAGCATTAGATATTAAAGAAGATGATGACATAGACGGCAACTTGGAGTCTGAAGAATCTCAAAGCAAGATGAGTGAGACCATTATTACACAAAGCCCTTCTCAGCTACAAAGTCCATCATCTGGTATTTCTACAAGTATTTGGGGCTCATTTACTGGATCGTTTTTTGATCCTAAAGAAACAAAAAATTTAAACACAGATTTAGGTGATGATAGACATGGGGTGTCTAGCAGAATTGGCAATAGCCAGTTAGTTGTACAAATGTCTATAGAAGAAACTCCTGAGCCATGTAGAGGTAGCTCATTAGAAGTTTCCTCAGAAAATGAAAACAAACAAATTAAACATAGGGATCATTCCAACACAATAAGCAACCACAATCGATTGTCTACAATTTCTAATGAAAGCAATAATAACAGTACAGAATCTTTAGAGCTTTTAAGCCTTCCAACGACACCTGGATCAAATTTAACATCTCCAAGCTCTGCCCCAATAGGCACTACATCTGAATCAGTAGAAATCCTAGCCATTGGCAGTGAAAGTCACCGATTGTCAATGTGTACAAATAGTGGTAATACATCACCATTCATAAGCCCTACAGATACTAGTGTTGAACTTGTCACTCCCAGCAGTAGTGAACATACTCCCACAGATTCTAAAGATAGATTCTGTAAAACGTCTCCTGATAGTGTAGAAGTTATACCTGATGATCTTTGTGAAGAAGACTTAAGTATAGCAGATGACTCTGTTTCTTACAATTCTGTTTCTGAAAATACAGCTATAACAGTTTTAGAACCCTTACGACCTTTTCTTATGCAGATGGGTGATTCTGGTCATAGTGAATTGTCTACATCATCTGACCGTACAATTGATGTTCCAATTACCAGAGCCCCTGTAAAAACTGGTTTGCATTTATGTCTGGAACAAGACTTAAATACTAGTAGATTAGAAATGAAAGAATCTGAATTCATTCCCTCAGTCATCGGAGCAAGTTATGAATCTGAGGGTTCAGGAAGTGAAAAAACGATTATAGTAGATGAGTCAACAAATGTTGTCCAGTCCATGCTGGAAGAAGCAATGACTGAAAAATTATGCAATCAGTCTACTTTATCTGAATCCATGCAGAGTTTTGAAGATGTTAGATCCATAACTTCATCAAATAATCGAGAATTTTCACCTATTTCTTCTGAGAAGAGCAGTGATATTGTTAAAGTAGGATCAGAGCAAACATCAGAACATACTTCAGCTGATGAATTGGAAACAACAACGTCGTCTGATATTGAAATCATTTCAAGCCCAAATGGTGACTCAAGCAGTACTCAGAGTAGATTGAGCCCAGCTGTAGGTAAAATAACTCATCAACTTGCAAAACACGATTTGGTATCAAAAGATATTTCTAAAACCAGAGGCCATTGTAGAGAACCTAGTGAAACTTCAAGTCATAGCATGAGTGAAGATTCTGAACATGATAAATTAGCAAAAACAATAATAGAATTGACGGATCTTTTAGAAGCTCGTGAAAATAAACTTTTGGAAATTGGTCGCAAAAATGCAGAATTAATGGAAGCTAACGTTGACCTAAGAAACCAATTGGAATCCAATAAATATAAACAAGATGCAATGGATGTATGTAGTGTAACTGAAGAATATACGCAAAGACTATCGGCGCTCGAAAAGAAATTTCAACAAGCGATTCGAGATAAAGATAATTTGAGAAAACAACTAGAAACGGTAAAACAAGAAACGGCCATGAGGATGAGCAGGAGTGAAATCGAAAGTACTATAAGCGAAAAAGAGCAAATTATTAGAGAATTGAGGGAAGAAGGTGAAAAACTATCGAAGCAGCAGCTACAGTATGGTAACATCATTAAAAAGTTAAGGGCTAAAGAGAAAGAGAACGAAGCTTTCATGAAAAAACAGCGGTAAGTTGAGCTATAAAACGTTGAAAATAACGGCTTTGTTTAGTAATTTAATTTCTTATTTAAGTTACACTAGTGGGGCGCATGTCATCGGCCTTAAGGCAAATTGCTGGAACTTCCCGTACCAAATATTATTTTTTTAAAAAAAGATTAACATCTTTGAAAAAAATTTGCTTTGAAAAAGTTAGATTTTTGAGAAACCATAAATTTTTGACAAAAATTTACTTTTTTAGAAAAAAAAACTTTTTGAAAAAAATCTTTTCTTTATTTTGAAATATTTTGGAAATTTTAAACTTTTTTTCAAAGCAATCGTACTGCTTTAACTGCATAGAGACGAAATATCGCAGCGCGTAAACGCCGCGTCGCCGTCTAACTGATAAACATTGGTACGGAACCCATAAGAATGTAAACAAACTTTATACTTATTGTTAAAATCTCTATAAAATATCTGATAATTTGATGTGCATATGTCTGATGATTATTGTTGACCGCCAAATCTCCGAAACCGCTAGACCTGCCTTCATGAAAATTTAATCAGTTCTTCATCTTGTCAATACAAGTAAAATGTTTTTTGAATTATCAAAATCGGACGCTCCGTTCTCTTAAAAACTGAGTTACCGTTTGTGGTACTTTATGCCCCGTATCTTCGAAACAGCTAGACCTGCTTTTGCCAAAAACTAATCAGCACGTCTCCTTATCAACAGCAATCGAATGTTTTTTGAATAATTGAAATCGCTTGAATCGTGTTCCCGAAATCGTCTACGAAAATTTGTGTCTACACACACGCACGCACATATGCATCTATTTTTTCTAAGGTATGCCAAAATGTTCAGAAGCCTCTGAAACGTAAAGATATATAAACATTTTCATTTCCGATTTACCTACGGGAAGTTAAAAAGAAATTCATGTTACATTATCATATGTAACATGATTGTCAATTATTAAAATCTCTGACAATGGTCAGAAGATTTGGAGTCAGAAGATATATTTTTTTTATTAATCCTACAATTGTACTTGTTGTCCATTTCAGGACATGTGTAAAATTACTATATAATAAAAAAAATTATAAATATTTTAATTTCGAATACCCATGAATATAAAAATTATTTTGTGTTATATTAAAAAGTAGCGAGTTATTTATTCGTTAAGGTCATTAATTTTTCTATTCATAATGATATTTTAGGAAGTATTTTGCGAAACCGCAGCCTTTCAGTATAGTATTATATTTAATAATTAATTAATGTATTTCTATAGAGATGAAATTGAATCGCTGACACAAGAATCCGAAAGACTGAAAAGGTCCCTAAGTGCCAAGAATGATATGGAGCGCGACCAGGTCGCCGCTATCGACCGCCTTACCTCGGAGAACGCAAAACTGGTGCGTGACGTAGCGCAATACCGCGGCGAAGTGGAGGACCACTTGCAGAAGCAAGAAACAATGAAAAAGTCCCTTGACGCAGCACGACAAGAATTATCTGAACGATGCAGGGCTACCGGTGAATTAAGTAGGCGCGACAAAGCCTTGGTAATTAATATTTTTTCTTGATTGATTAGTATCTAACCGAATTGCATTACACTTTTGATAAAATAATACTAACTAGTGGGGCGCATGGCATCGTGCCTTAAGGCAAATTGCTGAAACTTCCCGTACCAAAAATTATTATTTTTTTAAAAACGATTAACATTTTTGAAAAAAATTTAATTCGAAAAAATTAGATTTTTGAGAAATTATAAAATTTGACAAAAAATTACTTTCTTTCGAAAAAAAAGTTTTTTTGAAAAAAATAATTCTTTATTTTGACCTATTTTGGAAATTCTGAACTTTTTTTCAATGCAAACGTTCTACAGCATAGAGACGAAATGTCAAAGCGCGTAAGCGCCGCGTCGCCGTTTAATGGATTAACATTGGTACGAAACCGATAGGAATGTAAACAAAATTTATACTTATTGTTAAAATCTCTATAAAATATCTGATAATTTGATGTGCGTATGTCTAATGATCATTTTTGACCGCCAAATGGCATTTTTTTACTTTTTTCATTAGATCTCCGAAACCGCTAGACCTGCGTTCATGAAAATTTCATTAATTCTTCAACTTGTTAATACAAGTAAAATGTTTTTTGAATTATTAAAATCGGACGCTCCGTTCTCTTAAAAACTGAGTTACCATTTTCGGCACTTTTTGCCCCGTATCTTCGGAACGGCTAGGCCTGCCTTCGCTAAAAACTAATCAGCACGTCTTCTTATCAATACGAATCGAATGTATTTTAAATTATTCAAATCGGTTGATCGGTGTTCCCAAAATCGTCGACGAAAATTTGTATCCGCACACACACACATACATCCATTTTTTCTAATTGTAAGGTATGCCAAAATATTCAGAAACTTCTGAAACGTAAAGATATATAAAAAATTTCATTTTCGATTTTTTTGCGATTACTATAACTTGCCCTACGGGAAGTTAATAATGTTTACACCACTATCACTATATTTTATTTTATAGATTTAATAATTATGGTCGCACAACTTGTAGGATAACATATATTTAATTTGAATTTAAATCCTATAATTTATATAGGATTATATAGAACATTATATTTAAATAAGCCTTGGCAAATGAAAAGATTAAAATTCCGATTGAATACGTTTAAACTTCGATTAAATTCGTTTTTGTTAATCGAATAAACGAATCAATTTTATAGTATTACACAAACACAGGTCCACAAAAAACAGTTTCTGTATTAGGCGTGCGGCATATATTTTTCAATGTTTTTACCGCTGAACACGAATTTAAAGTCAAAATTGGGGGTCAAGTAACAAAAAATTTAATAGATTGAAAAAAAAAAACGACGATACCTCCGATCTAATAATTCTTCTGCATGACACTTACAATCTTTTAATTTCTGTCCCTTTCCTGGCTCCTTTTATGACTATTGAGTTTTACTTAAATGATCAATTGAGTTTTTGTTTAGAATATAGCTGTAACAGAGGTTAACCAGGAGCATTTGGGAGCAAATTTGCTGCTGTATTCTACGAAAAAAACTTAATAGATCATTCAATAAGTGAATACTCAATAGTCATTTAAAGTGAAAATGACCAGGAAATGACAGAAATTATAAGATAAAGTATCATGCAGAAGAATTACTAGATCCGAGATCTTGTTTTTTTTTTCAATTTTTTGCCATTTGACTTTAGTTTCGTGTTCAGCAGTAAAAACTACATTGGAAAACATACTCAATACAGACAACTTTTTTGTGCACCTATGTAATTAACATAACAAAGTTACTAGCCATTGAACACTCATGAATCTTATTGCGGATTCATGATATGAATATATATTAGCTAAAAAACAATTTATATCGTGTATATATTTTATAGATGAAGTACATAAAATACTTTATGTTAACCATCTATTTGCCCGTTTAACTTTCAGGTCACATTCCAAATTGTTCGATATTTTACAAAATAATTATGACTTTTTTCGTAACGACGCATAAATCTTATTCTATAAACTGGCTTGAAAAGTTTTAATATTTATAACATTTGCTTTAGGCTTTCCAATTAAATACTCAACAAGTTGTTTAATAATTTTTTTCGCTTTTTGTTTGCATAACAAAAATTGGGAAAATGAAAGTTAATATAAGTTAAAAAATTTTTAACTTTACTTGTTTTTGAGATATTGGCTCCGCTCTCCCCTAATTTTTTTTTCGACTATATATTCATTTTTCGCCAGAAGCGAAATTATAAAATATTTTTTAACCGAAAAACAATAAGATTGTCATTCGAAAGTCTTTGAGGTGAAAAGCGCGGCTCGCGCTTGAAAATATTTAATATCTTTCGATGTAACAAAGTTTCCAACAAATTGTAAATAGAATTTTGTTGCAGAGAAAAAAAGAAAAAATATGTTTTTTTTGGATCGATTCAAGTTAAGGTAAGGCTGAGTAAAACCTTTGAGCCTAAATATTTAGGCGTTGTTATTGGTAAGAAAATTGCAAAAACAAAAATTAAAATTAATCAAAAAGTTCACTTCAATATGAGTGCAATGAAAAAATAATGATACTGATTCGATCAGCACAACAGCAGATAATTAATTTACCGCATGTGATGTTCACAGAAATTGAGCAAAAAATCCATATTTCAATCGTAAATATTTACGTAAAAAAATTTTTTTCAGCGAAATCCTGAAATACGTGTCAAATGATTTTATGTATAATGCATGTATAATATCTGTAAAAAAAAGTTCAGACAATTCTGAAACCTCAAGGTCTGGATGGTGTACGGTTTGTAAAAGAACGACCCATATACTTCATAGATGTAGTAATACTTTGTTAAGATAACGATCTTCAATTTAGTCGCCATTACGTTTTCTAGAACTTATACATTGTTCATTATAATAATAGTAGATTTTGTATAATATACTTAATGGCACTCTTTTTGCTATTCGAAACAATTTATACTAAATGGCTGGATTTAAGCAATGACAATTATTCGTTATCGACGAAAATTTTGTTAAAAAAATGAAATATATGAAAATAGTGAAAAGCCTTATACTAAATCGTTATCGGATCAAACAAAACCCTTTATATACCTTTTATTTTGTAATTTTCAGACGAATTTAGAAGCTGAGAAACGTAGGTGTGAAGAACACAACGCACTTCTTCTATCCCAAATTGATGACCTGCGAATACAAATAACCCAAAGCGAGCTTTCGCATCGCGAACGGGCTGAACGAGCACGCTTGGAAAAGGAGGCCTTAATAAGGCGCGCGGAAGATGCCGAACTGCGTGCCGAACAACTCGGTATATATTTTAATAAATTTTATATTGTTCTACTTAATTGATCAAATCAATTTTGTCTTTTTTCCCCTTGTTGTTCAATATTTTTATTGCCATTTCGAGAGGAGTTTCGGCTTTAAGGCTCTCAGATATGGTACTGGCATATTCTAAATATTATATTTTCTCTGAACACATCGGTTAATTCCGATCTGGCTGAAACATCTTATTAGACATAATTATATCATTCTTCATACTTAATTGATTAAAATCTATTTTGTCTTTCTTTTGTTGTCTAGTTCAATAATTTTATTGCCTTTTCGGAAAGTCCTTCAGCTTCACCTGGGTTTCATTATTATTGTTATAAATGCTTTGAACATTTTAACTACATTGATACAATTCGTTTTACTCTATTCACTAATTTTATATTTTATATCACTCTGAACAGGCTGCTTCCAAAATTTGAAAAAGTATATGACCTTTATTTGTTTGCTACGTGAAATATTTTATAAGTGATTATCAGCCTTCTATCTTATGTGAAAGTGCCCTTGTTTTGAAACTAACATGTTGTTTGTCAAAACTTTATTACTTACCTTAGTATTTGAAAATATTAAATTTATACAATTTTCAAACAAGAATTCCCGTGTTTGTGATTCGATAAACGTTATTTGTGAAAGGTTTTATAAAAAACTTAAAAAATGCTAATATAATTTAAAACTAAATTTAAAGTTTTAAAAATATCACACAACATTTTTCACACAACTCACTTTATGTGATAATCTCATAAACCATTTAATCGCAATTAACTGTCGAAAATATATCTTTTGTTCTATATTTACTCAAAGTATTTAAATATTTATTTTAATTCAATTATTATGCCCTTCACACTTTTCGAAATTAATGCTTGTTTTATTAATTTGATATTGTTTCTATAATATTTGAATGAAATTAAACATCTAGTTGATATTTTTAGCTGAAAGTGGAATTGAAACCACAAAACCTCTCTTGAGACAACTTGAAATGATGCAAGAAACATCTGCAAAAAGAAGTAAGGCCTGGGAAAAACAAGAAAGCATATTAGTGGAAAAATTAGGTAAAATACGTATATTCTATATCTATATGATCTGTTCTAATGTTCACTGACATTTCAGAGGATTCGCAAAATGCCTTAAAAATAATGAGAGAAAATGAAAAAACCACCAAAGAAGAAATAGCACAGTTGCGAATAAAAATTAATGATCTGAATGAGAAATTGAACAAATCTATGGAGAATGAAAATAAACTAACTTTGGAATTGGAATCTGCAAGAACTAAATTAGAAGAAGTTAAGCAGGAGACTGAAAAGTAAATTCACCATTTCATAAATTGAACGACATTAATTATATTTGAATTATAATGTCTTGGTTTTTGACCTCAAATTAATTTAATTAGATTGTTCATTTAGTTCTTATTAGCAAGAATTGCAATATCCTCATCTTATTTAAAACTGGAATGTTATTTCAATATTTTTTTTTTTCGATTGCATTAAAATCACTGATCAAATCTTTTATAGTATACATTAGATACTATACATTGAATCAGTATCATAAAATTTATTTAAATAGTTGTAATGTTTTTTTTCAGGAATCAAACTGAAGAATCAACTCAATTAAAAGTCCTTCATGACCGTATTACTGAACTTTCGAATCAGTTATCTTATACACAGAATCAATTATCAATTGAGAGAGCAAATTGTGAATCTGAAAAACGAAAAGTAAATAATCTTCAAGAAATGCTGAACAAAGAAAAAACTCAATCTTCAATGGTGACATTCAGCTCGAGCACACCTATGCAGGATCTTAGTCAGTTAAAACAATCAAGAGAGTCATCACCAACCTTAAGTTTAGGAAGAATGAGTGGCTCAGGATCTGCCCACAGTGCATTGTGGCATTTGGTAAATATGATATACTTTGATTAATAAAATGGTGATGCAAATTTAAATGTTTTTTTTCCTTTGAAAAAGGATGATTCAGCGGACTGCAACTCGAGTCTGGCCGACGGAGGTGCTGGTTCCATGTACGATGTCTACCGTGCAGGCCATTCTACCCAAGTACTTGAATCCTTACAATCCCTAGTCAAACAGCGCGACGGAGAAATTCAACAATTAAACCATGAAATAACAAGACTTACTTCAGAAAGAGATTGTTTATCTGCTGAAATGGCCAAACTCACTGTAGAATTAGACAGGAATATGGAGAGGCTGGAAGAAAATGCAGAAATAGCAGAACAGATGGCTCAACTTCAAAGGCAGTATGATGCCTTGTTGCAAATGTATGGTGAGAAAATGGAAGAAAATCAAGAGCTGATGTTAGATTTACAAGATGTTAAGGATATGTATAAGGTACAGATAGATGAACTAATGGCAAAACAAGATAATAAATAATGGACTGATATTATTTGAACTTAATTTTTACTGTCAAGTAACCATCATATGTACCGTTCTATCAATTCATGAACAATTGATATAATAGTGTTGTGAACACCCACTAATACATTTGAAGACATAATATTCACATATGCGCTTGCTTTCGAGGCACGTTCTGAAAACAACGTCATGTGAATTGTAGGCTACCATATTCTTCACACTTTTTTCACAATTTATTATAAACACTATGTTCAAATAAAAGGCTTACTATATGTGATCAAAATTAGAGAAAATTATGAAACGTAATAGCATTATATTCGACAGAAATATACGTCAAGAACTTTAAAATAAAGGTATTTTTTATATTTATTTTAAAGTTATAAGATATTTTGTATGAAGGAGTCTAGCATTGGAATATTCAAAGAAAGAACTGCTTTGTAAAACACTTATATAATATTAAAGTATAGAATACATACTTAAATATTATGAAAAAGCCCGATTTTATGATTTATATATAGAGAAAAAATCATAAATCTCAATTGAAGATTTCATATTCGTAGTTATTTATAAATAAAAAATTATATAAAGATGATATCACCATATTTGTTATTAATTGCAAAAATTGTTTATTAAATTTTATTGACTATAATGTTATATTGATAAAATAAAGTAATAAAACGTATATTTTGGTACTTGGTTATTATAAATTAATTTGCATTTATTTATTTAAATCCAAATAATAAAATTAAATTTAGAACATAGTAAAATTAAAATAATAGATTTTTATACAATACTAAAGTATAAAGGCTATACCCCCCCAAAACAAAAGCTCTTTTAGCTTAAAATTTTAGCATTAAGAAATTCTAATTTTCATAGAATGAAATTGCACAACAATATCATGATGATAACATAAAAGAACTGTTCCTCCTAGAACTTAATTCAAACCACTTATAAATTTTAATGAAAATGATTTTCCGAATTTAATAATTTAAAAAATTGTTGCTCTTATCTCAAATATAATAACATCAATTAAATTTTCGCCGAAAAATGTTTGTTTTTGAAAATTTTGACAACATTTAATCCTAAATATAAAAGTGAAACAGGAAGAAGTTGAACCAATAACTAAAGTTTTTAGTAGAGAATATAGATCTAACTAGTAATGAAGCAGATCTATAAAATTGAAGTTATTCATTCATATAGTACTCCTTAATATAATCTCAAATCAAGATGTCAGCACGATACATGTTGTGTTTCATCATCGTTTAAATCCTAAATTTTCTCTTTGCCATTGATCGAATTTTTAAAATCTCATTAATTTATGAAATAGCAAAGAATTATGAATTGATTCAAAAGCAGCATTGTCGACTTGTTTCATTATATCCATCGGATGTAAGACGCGCGACGTGAAGATCTTATTGACATTCACTTCAAAAATTTTGACATACAACAACACATTAGATACAATTTTGTCTTATACTGCTCCGGTAATCGTAAATGAGCTAAATACGACGTCGGTCTTTGGATGACCCGTCGCCTGTTTAGCTGTTATTTTCGTAGCCGTTTCAAATCAAAATGATGTAGCGGTTTACGAAAATCGATAAGTTAATTCGCGTTGAGTGATATTTCGCTCTATATTTATCTTCAGTTCACACCCATGGAGTCCAGCCTTCATAGAGAAGTGCCAGGTTGTCTGCATTAGTGGCCTCTCGAATAATAAAGTCCACCTGCTCTGCAGGAGTGCAGCGCCACATGGGATCAGGATCGCGGCCTTCTAATTTCAGGCGCACGCGTCGCCACACCGATACAGCGTACGCGTTGCGTTTTTGTTCCATTTCGGGCACTGAAAAATAATTATTACAAACATTATATACGAACAGCAGATGCACTAGCATTCTTATCTCAAATTAATTAAATTAAATATATTTGTCAAAAACCATAATATATAAACAATAATAAACTTTCTGAAGTGATTAGAATATTCGAAATAATTAATTAATTAAAATAATTTTCGGTGTTTTATGTATTTTGAGAAAAAAACTAATTTATTGAGAAGTTAAACCATACAAGAAGTACAAAATATTTTAGACTAACTTTTTATGTAAAATTAAATCAGTTAATCAACCAATCAATCAATCCCATATTTGTTATGATTAGGTATAGTAGCAGAGCTGTAAATCATTGATGGTACCTATTTAGTATTTAAACTATGCAAAAGGATCAAAGCATTGATGATAAAAGTTTTGATCTTATATAATTATTATATTGAATTGTTTCTTAAGCGGTACACAGCTGTATCAGCCAACAAAAACATGTATTTGTCACTTTTTTGGACAAAAAAGATAATAAATCTTATTAGTTATATAGTAAAAATATATATTAAATTTGAGGTGCTCTGTGTCGGTAGCCGCTACAAATTTTAATATAGCAACAAAAAAAATCTAGTTGAAAGGGGGCATTTTGTCTTAAGGCAAATTGCATGAACTTCCCAAAATGTGTAATAATTGACTTAATCAATCGATATTGAGATTTAGATATTTAAATAAGATTTTCAACTACACTTTGATATTATTTAACGATTTAAATTAATGGTAATATATTTTTACACAACTAAAGAAGTTATGTTTACTTATTTTTCCGCTAATTCCAAAAATAATGGCTGGGCCGATCTTCTCGCAAACATAATCGCGGCTCGACCTTATCGAATTTATTCCATTGGCTTTTAAACTTGTGCAATTCAAATTTCGACTTATCACTAATCAGCACGATTCCCAAATGATATCTTTTGAATATTTTTCGAATTTTTAAAATCGATTCATAATTTTTGGCTAAAACGTGTACATTTTTATTTTTACTTTATACCGATCATCGCACAAAACTGAGAAACTAAAGTCCTCATTAAGATACATCGAATGACTTCTAAATTTTCGAAATCGGTTCAGGCGTTTTTGAGAAAGGGTCGATTTAGGGTAAAAATCTGTTCACACACACACACACACACATACGTTTTCCAAATTTGGTCTCATTCGATTCAGAATCGGATTTTTTGATGAAAACAAACTTTTCTTTCGGGAAGTTAAAAATTCAGTGTATATGCTTATTGCTAGAAAAAAACATAGAAGATTTTAAATATATTGATTTTTATATGATTAGCAAAAATTTGAAAAAAAGGTAATCATTTCTTAATAAATAATGATTAAATTAACATATCGAAAATCCTATGTCATTCCATTCAAAATCTTATTTTAAAAATACACGTAACAAAATCGAATCAAAATAATGAAATTTGCGATAGCTACTTGCCATTTTGAAAAATCATACTTCAAAAATTAAATACGATGCGTTTGTAGGAGAGTTTGCAATTTCATACTTTTAGGTATGAAAAATTTTCCTCATTTTCTAAAAAGTTGAAAGTTACATTTAGGCCACATAAAGTTATTTTTTTTACGGTTGTGTCACCTCTTAATTATTGAATAAAATACACATTTAAAAATATTAAGTTAACATACCAGGATAATCTTGGATTCAGGAGCAGGTAGGATGGTTTGGAAATGTATGAGGACTCATATAGTTACCATGCTCAATAAAACGACAAACAAATACTTACATCTAGGTGATTTTTCCTTAGTTCCATTAATTGACTGCACACTACTTTGCCTCAACAATGGAGGCCTTTTATTATTATTTTTTCCATTATCAGCCTCAAACAAAAATATATCATCAAACACACCTCCGATTAATTCTTGTGCTTCTTGAACTTGTCCTTTCACAGCGTAAATCGAATTCAAAATGTTCTCTTTGTCATACATAGCGCTGGAAATTGCTGAAATTACTTCCAAAAATCTCTTGTATCTTGATAAATAATCTCGAAGCCCTGTAACTTTGTCCCCATCTGATTTTAGCATATTTTTCAGAAGTGCTCTGATGTCAGATGTCAATTGATTGTGTTGTGACATATGAGATCGTAATTTGTTCACTATGTCTTGCAAAAGTTCTTCTGCTTCAGTCAAGCTATTTTGTTGTGTTTCAATTTCGTCATCAATTTCATTGATCATATTTTTTAGGAGAGCTCCAACATTTGATAAATATTGATCATCAACACATCCTTCTGGATCCAACATCTCAAATAAACAGTCTTCTAATGGTGATATTGCATTCTTGCACCCTTCTTGTAATGTACCTGAATTCATTTGTGAAATAAACATATTTTTCAAGCGTTTCCCAAATGTGGCACAGTTGTATAATATTCAAAATTATATTTTAATAAATCGATTTTAACTAAATACTAACTATTAAATAATTAAATTATATATATATATATATATATATATATATATATACATATATCATAAGTATCAGAAAAAACTATTTTAAGATAGTTAATCGGTATAATATGCATTAAAAAGTTCGATTCGACACCCGATAAATCAAAAAACCAATTAATAGGCTAGTTGTCAATGGTCCTAAAAATAAAAAACCTAAATTTTACCAAAAGAATTTTTTGCAAAAACGATGGAGAAAATTGTTCATCACCAAATATAATAATATAATAATTTTTCATCCCAAAGTCATTTGTAGTGACCAAAAGAATTTCTTTCTAATTTTTTTATATTTTATGTTAATAGACAAAATTAAATAGTTTAATTATTTACTCACAACTTTTCTCCCACTGAGATACCATATCCAGAAAAGCCTGATCATTAGTTGCACTCTCTGATGTTCTAGTTCTCATAGCTTCATGATGCAATATGGCGTTGCAAGTTTTGGCCACTTCTCCTGCAGTATGCTGTAATTGCTGCAATTCTTTATCCCTATTTTTGATAGCAGTTTCAAATGCCGACGTTACTTCAGCTAATGCAGGGTTTGCACCTGCAGCCCACTTTAGTCTCTGTTCAGCACTTTGCACGAGAGAATTTTGAGTAGCATGACATTCCGTGATCCGTTGTTGTATAGCAATCAATAACTGCAAGTTAAATAAAAATATAAAAAGTTAATAAGAAAATGAAACTAAATAAACTAAAATAAAAATTCACAAAAATATATTGTGTACATAGAGGAGTACATACAGAGGAGACCATAAAAATAACTTTGTGAACATAGATCAATGATATTTCAATTTTTCAGTAACACTATAAAAAAACTAACTCAGTTAATGTTGAAATATTATACACCCAAAATGGCAAATAAAATATTATTATCTATATAATGTAAAAGAACATATATTGGTAATATAAAGTTCAAAACAAGATTGTAAGATAATTATATAAAAATACTCATTAAATATCTTTTACAAAATATCAAAGCTAAAATTTTACTTAATTTCACGTAACTCACCTG